TAAAATATTTTTTTATGCATTAGTTAGACAAAAACTCAATGAATTCTGATAGTATGTTTTCCATCTCGAAAGAATGTGATATAAGTTCTGAACTTTGAGGATTACATTTTCATTCTTTTATTTGAGCATTACAATGAGAGTGTGGATGTGGGGTGTTGTCTGCATTCACATCCACTCTATAATCATTATCTTCCATGGCGATGAGTCATACTCAAGTGAAAATGAGGGATTCTCTGTGACAGAACGTCGAATTTATGGACTTTATCATTTATAACTTGTCAGATGGAGCTAAATCTTTAGCTACCAATGCATTATTGTCTTTTTTTTGTTGTTAATAAATTTGATTTTTTAAAAATTCATTCAAGTTTCTTGATTGACTTTTAGTATGGATGAACGTAATTTTCGTGTATCGATAACTTGAACATGAAAAACTACTAAAAATTGATTCATAACGAAATCTATTATCATAGACAAAGATTGCTTACTAGTGTTCAGTTCATATAAAATAATCTACTCTCTAAAAATATCGATTTCATACCGAATTCTTTCTAAGTTCCGTAGTGACTGCGAAACCTAAAATGCTTCTTCCCATGGATACACGCGCGAAACTTTTGTTATGGAACCTTTTGAAATCCGTGCACCGAAAAAGGCTTAGTATAAAAAATGCGAAATTGTGCAGGTTTGATACAAAACCTTAAAGGTTTTGTGTTATACTCAAAAGGATTCGTATAGAACTTAAATAGCTTCGTATTTTTGATACCGAATCTTTTTTGTCTCATGGGTTTCAAAAAGGTTTCGTAGAAAAGGTTTCACACATGTATCGGCGGGAAGAACCATTTTAGATTTCGCAGCCACTACAGAACTTAAAAAGGGTTCGGTATGAAACCGATTGTTTTTTAGAGTGTATGATTCATTATTTACTTTTTTGTTTATAATACACCTTTATTTATGACACTATCTTTTATAAAGAGTACGGCATATTTTAGATAAATTTAAAATGTTTCTTTTGGTTATACAACGTATGTTAGCGCAGGCAAAATTGATACTTCCTGTTTAATGAGGTGATTTTTCTTGATAAATTAGGCGAGTTTAATAAGTAAATATGAAAAAAATAAACGAATTATTATGTATCACATTAGATTCATTTATTTGATTAATTAGTATTGATGATCTATGACTAATTACTTGAAGACCTTTTTCTTTATAATGGTTTATGGAACAAAAATATGTTGAAACTTATTTTGTAATTTACATGCAACTAAAATTTCTTCGCTATTTAAAATACTAGAAAACTGAATTTAATCTCAAAAGGAAGGCAGAAGTCAGCTCTACAATTTAACAGTGTTTTTTCTCTTTAATTTTTACTGAAAACAATGAGCATTTTGTACTTAAACTCCTTGAGTATTCTGTATTTAAATAGAACTGCTTTCGAGAAATATAAAACTAGAAAAATCGAACTTTTTAAAGCTTCAACGCAACGTCTTGGTTACATTTTAAAAACTAATTCGAATTTCTAGACGTTTGAAATGGAGAAGAAATTTATTTTCGACACATAGATTTTTAGCTGATTTTTTTTATAGACTTAATATATTAATGTGAATTTTTGTTGGAAGGTGTCTAATTCGGATTGAAACTTCTCTTAAAAATTTCCTCTTGATATTGTGGTCACGAAAATCAAATTTTTTAAAAATGAACCTAAAAAACTTTTATAAAACTCAACCGAAAAGCTAGAACTGAACATTTAAATGGTTTGCAGATTCTCATTAGAAAACTAGAAGAATTCAAGTTGAAAATTTCGACGAATACGTAAATGATTATAGATATAAACGAATGTCAATTTTGGTACTAATTTATTCGAATCAATAGAGTAATGCAAAATTGGGATTGAGGTAGAATCCTTTCGAATACGAGTCTTATTAAAATACTAGGGAACTATATTTGCCTAGACCTTTTAATTAAAAAAAACTTGAAGCGCTACTTCAAATAAACAACTTTGATGAAAAATCGATGCTATAGAGACATTTACTTATGATCAAATCCAAAATTGATGCCACCAATACGGTTTCAGTCCTTTTTTATCCTGTTGTTTTTTTTTTGATTCCAAAATATGATAGAGCAAACAAAAACAGGAAAAAAGACTTAAAACACGTGGATGTGTGTAGGTGGTAACTGAAAAAACAATATTTGGTAAGAATATTAAGGTTAAATGAGATGATATATTTCTTCAAGACCTAAACAATAGAATTAAGAATATATTGAAAACTATTCTATGAAAGAAATATGTATATGAATTCACATACCTAGATGACAGTTGACATTAAATTCATTTGTTGTTGAATATATATTCACTCTTTGTTTCAAAACGTTTAGAATAAATTTTTCTGCAATATCTTTACCTCCAAGAAAAATATAAAACATATTAAAGAAACATTGAAATTTGTTGTTTTTTTTTGTGTTTATTGTTTAAGACGGTTAGATGCTCGTTGGAAATCATATCATGAGTCAGCTAGGAAGTCGTCTCGAAAACATCACTCATAAGCACAAGAAAATATAGAAAGGAACTCAGACAAGTGATCATGTGACCAATACGACTTATGAGCCTTTTGAAAGAGATGAATTTATTACGTAAAAAAATGTTGTTTTCAAGTTCACTGTCTATAATTTCCTTTGAACAATCGATTTTGCAACACATATTATCGCGAAATATTTCAAGAAGAGAAGCTCATTGGGGCTTTAAAAAATACAACTAGTAGAATCTCTTGGTTAGCCAATATCTACAGAATCTGGTTGCACAACTACTATTGTAAGTGTCACATCAAATCAAACGTAGAGAAGAACATGACCATATGAGAAAATAGGAACCGAAGATTTGCAAAAAAGTCAAGAAACTATATCTTTCTACTTCTATCAAGGTATTGGAAATATAAAAGGTATCATACGTGAAAGTAATAGTTCACTCTCCTTTGAAAATTAGAGTCCGTTGGGTCTATTATTTTCGAATCTGACTGGGCCGTACTTGGATAGTTGCTCCCCGCAGATCTGAGATACTTTGTATTTGTTTTTTTAGATTGATGACTAGCACGCTCTACATGTTTTTCAGATGATCAGAATCTATTGGACCTGAAATTCGAGCATTCGGACCTGGTTCATAGAAAAATTTCAGGTTTGAAATAGTTCGGGACTCATCTGATAGGCGTCACTTTCTTTTTACTCTACTGTAACTACGACAAAAGCGGAGCCACTTATCTGCATGGTAGCAGTACGCAGTAGAAGTTGATAATGCTTATGCTAAGAGATAGAAAAAACTTTTCTCTGAAAGTCTACATATGAGTCATTCTGGTGTCTATTGTATCGTTTGACCGTCAAAAATGGGCTTGTTTATTTCTCAGTTCGTGTTCAGCCAAATTGCTCGAAATTAGTATCAAAGTATCTGCTAGTCATGCTCTACTTATGCTGCTAAAATCAGATTTCTATCTTTTATCCTCTATGAAAAATGCTGAAAATAAACCATTTTTTTGACCTTTTTTGTGCATTTTTATGATGATTCCAGATCGGATGCTTTTCTTTCTGTCTTTTTTAAGCTTGAAACAAAAAATGTAAAGGATGTTTAACTAATTTTCTTATATCAATTTTGAATGCTCTATCTGCTCATAACCTTATTTTCCCTCCAGCTATTGTTATTTCACAGAAATTTAACATTCTATAAATGGTTCCAGAAAACGTCAAAAAAGTGTCCCATTCCCTTTTGAATCTGCTGTGAAACCAATAAACATTTTAATTCAAATGTTATCATATACAAATGTTCATCAATTTTGACATTATCGATTGCTGAAAACCGCAATTTACTTCTTTTTACCGTTTTTGAATAATTTGCATCTTAGTGTTGTCTATTGGCATGTGACACACAATTTCTCCCACCCATTCTGCCTATCTCTTGGCCAAACTAGAAGAAGTTAAGAGCTGATTTTTTAATCACAAGTGTCAATCGGCAAGCACAACTTATGTTGTAAATATCAAGGCTCTAACTCATTTCTGGAGAAAGTTATTTAAAAAATACAGGCAAACGTCCCACCCCCTTTTGCCCTTCTCCTAATCAAACTACAAGGAGTTGAGACCTGATTTTTTTAACCATAAGTATCAATTAGATAGAATAGCTTGTGTTATAAATATCAGGGCTATAGCTTCATTCTAACGAAAGAAATTAAAAAATATAGAAAAATGACCTTTTCCTATGTTTGTCCCACCTCCTTTCGTCTATCCTCTAGCCAAACTACAAGTAGTTAAGAGCTGATTTTTTTTTATCATAAGTGTCAATTAGATAGCACAGCTTGTGTTATAAATATCAAGATTCTATGTTGTTCCAAAAGAACAGTATTTTAAAAAATACGGTAATATGCGTCTTGTCTTTTTTTACAATGTTCCATCAGTTATTTAAAAATTGAAAAATATCATTGAAACGAACTGCAAAGAATCATTTAACTTTTTCCAATCATGCTTTTCTTGCTTAAATAAGATCCGAGATCCTTGAGTGAGTTTTTACACTCTTTCGGATTCCCAAATCCAATGAAAAAAGTGGTAGTTTGCAAAACCACTTTTTCTTATAGTTTGAAGCATTCTCTATCTGCTGATAATACTTTTAAGTACAGCCGTTTACTTTTTTTTCGACCATTTTTTCAAAAAAAATGGTACAATAGACACCAGAATCACCCATATATCTGTTTTGCAGTTCATTATTTTGAACTGTCATAAATGTCAATATGAACAAAACAGAACAAAAACTTTGTTGACATTAGTGTTTTTCTTTACAGACTTCTGTTATGTATCATTCTATTCAACATTTAGGGTTAAGAAGAAATATATCTGATTTTGTTTATAGAAGAAATAAAAATATATTTATCTATGCATCTAATCATCACGTTATTTAATCAATTAGCACGCTATTTCATTATTAAAAAAGTTCTTTATTGAACAAAGTAAATTTATGAGCAATCAGAATTTCATCACCATTTGGCATAATGATTCTCAGCAACTCCAAAACCGTTTTCAATCACATATGTATGATCAAATAATTCTATAGTTCCATTATATACACCAAAAGCTTGAACAAAATCTCCAGCTACAAGAAACACATTGATATGTTCTTCTTGACTACCCCATGGTTGAAAACTAAGACGAATCTTAGGAGTTTTAGAATTAATATCTCCTGTAGAATAGATTTGCCATAATTGAGTTGTTATATATTGTTCTTCAGGTAATTCATAGACAATTTGATTTACTGCATGAACTTTTCCACCAATCCTATATTGTAGCATTTATTACAATAATATTAAATTTTTATGTTTTTATTAAACTCACCAAATAGCATTTTCCATTGAAATACCATTATTATCATTATAAACTCTATCAGAAAGATTTATACCAATGGTCACAGGTTCATTATTGGATGAATTAGTTCCAACTACTGAAAGAGAAATCCTAAAATATATAGATCAAAGTTAAAATATTCATTTATGATTAACGAATTACCATTTCCAACGAGTTAACCTTTCTGAATAAGCTAATGTCCAATCAATACTACTAAGTCCATCAAGAAACTCTTCTTCCTTATTATTATTAATCTTTATTTTTCCTCGAGCAGGTAAAGTAGCTATTTTATGTGTATAGGCTGGACGAGTTTCTTCAACGGGATAGATTAAAACCATTGATTGATCTTTTTCATTTGAATATTCTATTTTAAAACCAAATGATATTTGAATACCATCATGCATGGGTACATTTGCATCGACTTCATAGACTTTTTCATTAGTATTATAACAAAGACGAATATATTCTAACGAAGATTGATTAAAATGAGTACATCCATCAATAGATGATTTAGCTTGTTCTTTAATAGCTTGTGCTAAAAAAGATTTACTTGCATATTGATAAAATTGCTTTTCTCGATTTGTTCGATCAATTACATATACAATTCCATTAGCCATATAATTAAAATTAGCAATAGCAGCAACAATAAAATAACGTGAAGTTGAAATAGATTTAAAACTCCAATGTTTAAGTGAAAGAAAATTGAATAATTTCGATGAAGAAACCCATGAATAATCAACAATCGAAATCGGTTTCATATAGCGACCGAATTCATTTGTTTTCAAAGGAATACGATCTTGAATTGGACCAAGATATTTTGGTTTAGGTAAATTTATATATCGAGCATTTTCTATAATACCAAATAGAATTGCAAATAAAGGTACTAAAATTGTGACAATAGCAATAAAACGAAACATGTTTATTTGCTGATGAAGACCTATATTATACTTTTATCTTTTTTCAACTATATGTTTTGATAAACTGACAAGGTTTTTATTTTTCCTTCTTATCATTATATCTTTTTATTGTAAAAAATTTTAACAAAAAGAAAAACATATATATTTTGGTGAAAATGATTAATTAGTAGCGTCACATTGTACTGGTTTTCCACTGGATGTGAACCATTCAGCATTGCAGCTTCCACAATAGTTCGAGATACATTTAGCGTCAGGATATGCTGGACATGTTGCTTCCTATTGAAAACCTGTTGTATTAAAAAGAAAACATATAAGCTAGTCATTATGACTTACTTGACATGGATCTACGAAACATTGAACTTTACTCTGACCAGGTGGACATGAAGATGATTTAGTACAATTTGCTGGAGTACCATCAGCTTTATACCATAGAGCATTGCATTCGCCGCAATAGTTAGAGATGCATGTAGCGTTTTTATTTCCTGGACATGTTGATGTCTAGACTTAATTAAATATATTCAAACCTATTACAATATGAAGAACTTACAGAGCATGGATCCACAACGCAATGCACCATTGGTTTATCAGGTGGGCATTGAATCATTCCAGTTGGTAGTCCAAATATACCTATAATAAAATGATACTAAAATAAACTTTTCTAACAAATTACTCACCTCCGATGATTAATGTTGAAAGGATAATAGTGGCAAGATATGTAATAGTTTGCATTATGTTTTTGTATTTGCTTGAGAATAGAATAATCTATCGTTTTTCTACTTCATATTTATAGGCTCTCATAGGCATGATTCTGATTCTTCTTGACAAAAATGATTCTGATCATTGTCACGCATATGCATCGTCATACCGACGCGGTCTACTTTATCAATGATTCGTCATAAAAGTTTGAAGACCAAACGTTGTACATATTGAATACGAGAACAGATTTTTACCTTTCTCTCCATCATAAAAAATTACCGATTTCTAAAAATATTCTTCCGAAGCTGTGACAACAATACTTCCATAATTATAGACTTAAAAATTGTATGTGCTTGTTTCTTTCGCTTTGGATTATATTTTTCTTTTGTTCGATCATTACTAATAAAAACACCGTTACTCACTTTGTTTTTTTTTAATAGTTTGCTCATTAATGTGATTATTACGACGTACAAAAAACAAGATATATGACGACATTTTAAGAGCCATAAATCCAACAAGAACAAAAAGCAAATAATGCAGATTAGTTCTATATACTCAGATCAAGAAATTTGACTATTGAATCTTGCCAAATTTGATCAGATTTAATGTTGCATTGTGCCGGAAATAGTCGGATTCCGACTTCATCCGATCTGATTCTATTAAAATGAGTTCATAATTTAGTGACCCGGAATTCAACGAACTTTTAACCGAGAAAGGATCTTATCGGATCGACAAGATCTTATCAGATCCTCCGACGAACTAAAGAGATCCCATGGGATCATATTGGATTTATATTAGCATTCTATAGTTGTTCTCTTTCCCATTCCCTATCATTTTTGTCTATAATAAGTCATTAGATTTATGACGCCAATGGTAAAAATTTACTGTCTACTTTATTATTCCTTTATTAAGAACCAAACACAAGATAAACCAAAATATCGTTGTCAAAACAAGGCGCAAAGATGTTATCACTCTTGTCGTCAAAATCGCACAAATCAGCAATTTTATTGCAATTTATAATCCGATCAAACGCGAGATTTCTTTCTTTCCGTACGCAGTAAATAATACAATTTCTTTTAATAAAATAATGCTGATCATTTTGTTATTGAGAGAGAGATCTAAATAAAGGAAAAAAGAATTCATTCGTATTAAATAATATTTATCCTTCATTTAGATGTTGAAATGGCCTAAATCAAAGAAAAAAGAACATTTATTTTTATCAAGCAATACTTATTGTAGAAACTTTTTACAAAATCGCCGATTAATCGCCAAAAATGACCTAATTTGGATGCCATGAAAATGCATAATAAATATATTTAAGATTTCAAATGATACTCGGTTCTTGTCATTTATCATTTTTATTAATATTAAAATTTTCCGATTATGAGTAGACAGGATTAGCAATAATATTATGTTTTTTTTAAATTGCTCTCGTGGCTTCATCACAATTTTGACCGTGGAAGAATATAACATGACCGAGCTCTATCTGGTAGAGAAGCCTCGTTAACAGAGTTTAACTAATGTGGCTTCAATCGGAGTAAGTAGGGCTCAGTTCCCTTGGTTGTACCACTAGTTTGTTCATTTGATAATTACTTTTCACAAAAAAACACGACTAACTCAATTTATTTTTATACAGAACCAACTTTTCAAAACACTCAACTGGGTCAGGCAGTTTCAGTTTTGCAACACGAGAAAACACTCACAATTACATATGATCTTTACAAAATTTTAAGACATATTTGACAGCTCCTTCAATCAAAATATCCGACGACTAATTTTTCGACAACAGATGGAATCGGCTGGATTCCGACAACTGAATCCTATAGGATACGCCCTTCGGATTTCATCGGATACAGCCATCAGATTGACACAGTGGTATCCACATAAATATAGATATGAAGAGATACAGAACAGAAAGAATCCATTAATTCTGTGTATTTCTTAAGTAATTGTTGGATTATTTCAAGAAGACAGACAAGAGTAAAGTGTATACATTTTCTCAATGTTACAATATGCTGTGCTATATCAACAGTAGAACGAGAGATTATCTATTTCGAGAAAAAAAAAGAAACGAGAAAATGCTATTTCATATGTGCACCATTGAACTGTTGTTGTTGAAGTTTGGCAGTAACTATTGTTGCAGCTCGTTGTTGTTGAGCTTCTTGATTCACTTTCAATGAACGGCGAAATATCAAAATATCATGTTTCAAAACTACATCAAACACATTAAACCTTAGTTGAACATTTCTTTTCATCTACTTAATATGCACAGACCTCAGAGTATATATATATTACATGCCTTTCTTTCTATAGACGAGCACTTGAAGGCTTGCATGAGTTATGTGTACATTCAAAGTAGTTCAAACATTGAACTCATGAAAATCATACGAATGAGCACACTTGAAACAATCGACTCTAGCAAAATAATCAAAGCTTTTCTATTCAAGATACAAGAATGCTCCTTGCCATGGAGAATGTCTAAATCTATTTACTCATTTAGATGCCCTATAAATAACAATGTCTCTTACACACTTTTTTATTTAAGCTGTGAATTTTTATTATGAGTAGAATTGTTTTGAATGAAAAACTGAAGAAAAAAAAAGAAATGCACATATAAAAAAAAAATAAAAGTAATGTCACAAATCACATGTATTATTTTTATAGTTGTGACAGATGACCAGATCCAATGGAGTACTGCTATCGCTAACTTGTAATGGGAACGGACTTTTATTGTTAATCTATGCAGTTCGCATTATTTTACATAAAGTATTTCGTTTGTGATCATCCTTACACACACTTGAATAACAAACATAAATACTTAAACAAGAATTCAAGTGTGTGAAGAAAAATGTTGAGCGATCCAAGAACAAGTCGAAGCGCATGAGCTTGCCAAATGGCCTCAAGAGTCTTGCTTTAAGATGTGTCCATATCACATGATATTCTGCCTAAAGATACTCATGAACTTCATGAATATGGAAGAATCGATTATAAAAGCCTTTGATACATTTGAAGAATCTCGTCTGAGAGACGATTTTTCAAAATCCATGCCCATAATAATATCAAAGTTTAGTATAGACAATATTTGACTCCCATCATTCTAGCGACGTGTTAGTTATGAATTGTGAGTTACAAAAATCTTAAAAAACAACCAACAGGAAACAACAGTCTATTGAAAAATGCATTTCTTTATTGAAAACATATTCTAGAATCATTTCAATACTATTTTGCAGCGTGATCTGGAAAATATTCTTTACGTTCTCTATATGAAAAAAGAGTTTCCATCATCATAAGATTTAATTGACGCAGTGTACATTAGCACTGATTACATATGAAGAGGTCTTTCTAAAATAGAAACATATTTGATAAAATCCTGTTGTATATTAATCAAAATACCTCTTTGTCTTTCCACTCTTTCTACAAATTCAGAAATATTTTTTGTCACCAAACGGTACATTCATATTTGAAGAAAACATATATTCAGATATACATGTCCAAGTTTATTCTATAAAGTATTCATTCTGAGCCTGCGAATATAATTCTTTTTTCAAAACAACATCTAAAGATACTTTTCGAAACACACAAAAAAAACCCTAAATATGTACTTAACTACTATTTTTCTGTAAACTGTTTCTTCTCAAACAATCATATTCAATGAAGTTACTTTGAAACTGATAACTATAGTAGAGATGCATTTCACTCTGAATGAATTATATTCATACTATTCAACTCTCAACATAACTAGCTGACTTAACTAAGTTTAACAAAAAAAAGAGGTTAATTTTCTTTTTCTCAGTTATTCACCTATTAACAAGGTTAAATATTGCCAGAGACAGATCTTATTCCTTAGAAAAAAAAAGAGTACTGTTAGACATTATATCAAGACATTAGGATATGTTGATTGTAGTTTTCGAAGAATGTTCTTCTTACCAACGATTGTCTTCTTTTTCTCAAAAACTATTAACTGTTTCTTTTCTCATTGTATGTGTATAAGATGAGTGAAGTAAACTTGTTTACTAACGATGTGTTGAACAAAAATGAATTGAAACTAAGAATTGTTAGCCAGACTAACAAAAACTATGACTTTTTTTAGGACTACATAGAGGATAGTCCTTGTAACTTATGAACGATAAGACAGAATACATAATCCCGAGTGTTCTCATGTGTGGAGGGCTTTAAATCGTATTTCAAAAACAGTAAATTTCTAAAAAGAGTCCACTTATTCAGATATACCACATAATATTTATTAAATAAATATATAAAAAATAGAAACGAAGATAAAAAGACAAAACACACATTTTATAAACAACGAACAAAAAAATATGACCCATCAAAAAGGTTTCTTTTTGTGTACTCAAAAAGTGAGTACACTCTAGAATCGGTCAGTATGTCCGTCTGGCCGTCCGGCCGTTAACACGATAACTTTTGAAAGGAGAGTCCAATCGCGATGAAATTTTCTGCACAGTTCAGTCTTAACAATGTCTCGGTCGAGTTCGAAGATGAGAATGATTGGCCGAACCATTGCTGAGTTATTGGAAAAATAGTCATTTTTCCCTATGAGAAGATAGACCCTTCTCTGTTTTCATAAAAAACTTTTCCTATCATAGTCAGATAAAACCCCAACTATTATATACTATTCGATAGAGAATTTCACGAGCTACAAAATGGTATATAAAACATAAAGAAACAAGAAAGCTAACTCGCCTATTGCAAAGATAATTAATCGGAATTCGGTTCTGTTTTTGTCCACGCTCTATATGATCCATAATTAGAGTTCTATCTTCCCATCACAGAGATAATAGTTCGAGGTTTTCTAGAATGGAGAACTCGAATCTATGTTCCATTCGCCTCGAAATCCCATTGGTTGAGCAGTGACCAATAGAAATCGAGTTATAGGAAAAACGCGTTTCTTAGGGTAAATCAAGGTGAAGAGTTCAAATCTGAGCTGTATTTGCCTCCAAATCGTATTGACTGAGCAATAGCCAATAGAAATTAAGTGTTTACAGAAAGGGTTTGCCAGGGCAATTTTGATGTTCACACATTCTAGGGTGACTCCTGTCTGATTCACTTTTTGAAGTACACATAACTCTCGGATTTAAATCCGAGGTTTCCACATTTATTTTTAAATGCAATGAAATTATTTCAATGAGGACAAAAGGGTAAAAACAAAAACAAATCAAATTCAATGTCAATATCAATGGCACTCGAAAATCTCTCATGACTGCGTGTGTAACATGATCTCGAATTATTTCAACACTGTTCCATTTCACCTGATTGATTCACTCCATTTCTTGTTGAAAAACACTCTTTGAAACAAGCTAAACTTGACAATTTTCCGGAAAATTGTATGAAAAAAGGACAATATCCATAGTAAGTGTATGGACGTCCAGAAATGCTTAACTTCTTCTCCTTCCCCTCGACATCATTTATCTACAATTGCTTAGCAATATAATTCAAAATAGCAATAGTAACAGCAATAAAATGACGTGAAGTTCAAATAAATTAAAAATTCCGATGTTTAAATGTAACAAAACTGGATAACTTCGACGAAGAAACTGCATAAATTATCAACAATTGAAATCGCTATCATATAACGACCGGACTCAGTGGTTTTCAACGGAAAACAATCTTCAGATTGAGTCTAGATACTTTCGTTTAGGTAAATTTCTATAACGAGCATTTTCTCTAATACCAAATAGAATTGCAAATAAACGTACTCAAAATATGACAATAGCAATAAAACAAACAATCTCTACTTGCTGATGAAGACCTATATTACACTATTATCTTTTTTCAACTATATGTTTTCCTAAAGTGACAAGGTTTTTATTTTTTTTTAAATTATATCTTTTTATTAAAAACAATTTAGCGAAAAAAAACATATCCGTTTTGATTAAAATGGTTAATAAGTAGTGTCACATTCTACTTCTTCTCCACTAGATGTGACCCATTCAGCATTGCAGCCTCCACAATAGTTCGAGACACATTCAGCGTCAGGATATGCTGGACATGTTGCTTCCTATTCAAAAACTTTTGTGACAAAAGCAAACATATAAGTCAGTCATAGTAACTTACTTCACATGGATCTATCGCACATTCAACTTTATCCTGACCAGGTGGACATGGCGATGACTTAGTACAGTCTACTGCAGTACCATCAGCTTTATACCAAAGAGCATTGCATCCACCACAATACTTCGAGACACATGTAGCCTCAGGATATGCTGCACATGTGGCTTCCTATTCAAAAACTTTCGTGACAAAACCAAACATATAAGACAATCATAGTAACTTACTTCACATGGATCTATTGCACATTCAACTTCATCCTGACCAGGTGGACATGGCGATGATTTAGTACAGTTTACTGAAGTACCATCAGCTTTATACCAAAGAGTATTACATCCACCGCAATAGTTCGAGACACATGTAGCGTCAGGATATGCTGAACATGTTGCTGACTATAGAAAAGCTATCGTAAGAAAACAAAACATATAAGTTAGTCATAGTAACTTACCTCACATGGATCTATCGCACATTCAACTTCATCCTGACCAGGTGGGCATGGAGATGATTTAGTGCAGTTTACTGAAGTACCATCAGCTTTATACCATAGAGCATTACATCCACCGCAATAGTTCGAGACGCATGTAGCGTCAGGATATGCTGGACATGTTGCTGACTATAGAAAAGCTTTCGTAAGAAAAGAAAACATATAGGTTACTTATAGTAACTTACTTCACATGGATCTATCGCACATTCAACTTCATCCTGACCAGGTGGGCATGGAGATGATTTAGTGCAGTTTACTGAAGTACCATCAGCTTTATACCAAAGCGCATTACATCCACCGCAATAGTTCGAGACACATGTAGCGTCAGGATATGCTGGACATGTTGCTGACTATACAAAAGCTTTCGTAAGAAAAGAAAACATATAAGTTAGTCAAAGTAACTTACCTCACATGGATCTATCGTACAATGAACTTCATCCTGACCAGGTGGACATGGAGATGATTTAGTACAGTCTACTGCGGTACCATCAGCTTTGTACCAAAGAGCATTGCATCCACCGCAATAGTTTGAGACACATTTTGCGGTAGGATGTGCTGGACATGTTGCTCCCTATTGAAAAACTTTTGTGAAGAAGAAAACATATAACCTAGTCATTGTAACTTACTTCACATGGATCTATCGTACATTCAACTTCCTCCTGACCAGGTGGACATGGAGATGATTTAGTACAGTTTACAGGGGTACCATCAGCTTTATACCATAGAGCATTGCATCCACCACAATAGTTCGAGATACATATAGCCTCAGGATATGCTGGACATGTTGCTCCCTATTGAAAAGATTTCGTGACAAATAAAACATAAGTTACTCATTCTAACTTACTTCACATGGATCTATCGTACAATGAACTTCATCCTGACCAGGTGGACATGGCGATGATTTAGCACAGCTTGCTGAGGTACCATCAACTTTGTACCAAAGAGCATTGCATCCACCGCAATAGTTTGAGACACATTTAGCGGTAGGATATGCCGGACATGTTGCTCCCTATTGAAAAACTTTCGTAAAAAAGAAAACATATAAGCTAATCATTGTAACTTACTTCACATGGATCTTTCTTACATTGAACTTCATCCTGACCAGGTGGACATGGAGATGATTTAGCACAGTTTGCTGGGGTACCATCAGCTTTATACCATAGAGCATGGCATCCACCGCAATAGTTTGAGACACATTTAGCGGTAGGACACGCGGGACAAGTCGCTCCCTATTGAAAAACTTTCGTAAAAAACCAAACATAAATGTTAGCCATTTTAACTTACTTGACATGGATCTTTCAG